TTTGACGCCATGGCGCGCTTCAACACCATCTTGCTGGACTTTGACCGCGACGTGTGGGGCTACATCTCCCTGGGCTACTTTCGGCAGCGCACGATAGCGGGGGAGGTGGGATCCTCTACCATGCCCCACAAGGTCAACCCCATCGACTTTGAGAACAGCGAGGGCAACCTGGGCATCGCCAACGCCACCCTGGCGCATCTCGCCGCTAAGCTGCCGGTCAGCCGCTGGCAGCGCGACCTGACTGGTGGGTGGGTGGAGTGTCGTTGGATGGGGAACATGGGGGGGGTGCTTGCTGAGGGGATGACCAGCCGTGTGAAAGCAGGGACGGCAGGATCGTGGCTGCAGTAAACCAAGCCGAGCACTCGTGGGGTGCCCTGCCCTGCTCGAGTCGGCGGTCCTGGCTCGATTGCCGGTGCCGCCAGGCGCTCCTGTTGTCTGCAAATTCCCCTCCCCGCACAGCTCCGGACCCCTCGCTGCCACCACCGACAAGTCCCGCGCGCACCCCCTCACAGACTCCACGGCGCTGCGCAACCTGGGGGTTGGCGTGGGCCACTCGCTGCTGGCCTACTCCTCTGCCCTGCGCGGCATCGGCAAGCTGCAGCTGGACGCCGCCAAGCTGGCGGCCGACCTGGACGCCGCCTGGGAGGTGCTGGCGGAGCCCATCCAGACCGTGATGCGGCGCCACGGCGTGCCGGAGCCGTATGAGAAGCTGAAGGCGTTCACGCGCGGGAACACCGTGGGCAAGCAGAGCATGGCGGGGTTCGTGGGCGGCGTGGAGGGGCTGGGGGCGGGTGAGTGGGGGGGGGGGCCGATGGGATGCGGCTTGGGGAATGTTGTGAGGGAGAGAGAGGGGGGTTTGGGATGCAAGGGTGTGCTTGGGGCAATGCATTTGGATGTTTCTTGTGGGGCGACGCCCCGGCTCCCAGTGGGGGCCCTGCTCGTTTGCAGCCGCCAGCCCGGCCTCTCTGCTGCAAGGTGACCCTCAACCCCCCCACATCCTTGGAACCCTGCGCGTGCAGATGCGCGGGAGAGGCTGCTGGAGTTGTCCCCGGGGACGTACATCGGCAACGCCCAGGCCCAGGCCCTGGACCTCCCCGCTCGGCTGCGGGCCCTCAGCCGCCGAGCCTGAGCGGCATCGCGCCCCGGCACCGACCCTCCACCGCACCCCCCGCCCCTGCTGCTCGTCTGTGTCGGTCTACATCCATCGGCAAGGGGTCACCTATCAAGTGCTGGAGATCAGGTTCCGAGGGGGTGCAAGGTGGGAGAGACAGAGACTTGCTGGTTGCTGGGGAGAGGAAGAGGCCTGGCTGGCTGGCTGGCCAGATGGAATGGGGCCTGTTCTAATAAGGGGGGAGGGTGTCAATGTGGGGGGAAAGAGAGAGGCAGGGATGAAGTGGGAAGGACAGCTTCTCTGATCTGCAACAGCATGGGGATCGGCACGTGATTCCAACCCGTGGGGGAAGAGTGGCGAGGGGGGGGGGGGGGGGCAAAA